ATGCTTCCAGGCTTGGCAGCGGCGCTGGGATCGTTGTGTTCACTCCCAGGGGAACTACTTCCGAGGGTGATGGATGAATTTAATACCTGAGATAAGTGTACGGGTTTTTATACGCGCAGTCTGGAAACCTTTCGATGGCACCTCGTATAATTCTTATTAAAAATCAGCGATGCAAGAATTACGATTTAGTATAAGACGCAGTACGAGAAACATTGTAAAACGTTATAAATAACAGTAAAATATACTTTTTTCGTTTTTGGACTTGCTGGTTTCAAAATCGGTGTTATTCTGAATCGGCGCAAATTGAGGGTTACCTGTATTTGATTTCCAATGGTTCTCTATCAATTGCTGAGCAGAATGATAGATGCAAGTGACTGTGACTAAAATACCAGTATGCTTCTGTGTATACAATTTTCAAGTCACGAGCTCCACCTGGTTAACTGAACAATTTCATATACAGCGGTATAAAGTGAAGCTTTCACGGCGACTGAAGTTGATGAAAGACTCTTGGGTTACAGAAGATATGGTTTATTCACCATTCAGCCACCTGACGTGACTTGTAACCACACAGTAATTAATATACAGCTGTTACAAAGAAACAATTCATTTGACTAATATTCTTACCTAACTAACCAACTAACTAGATGGCTTACCGAACCCGAAGGTTCATCACCGAATTAACCAAAGCCCTCCACCGGACCCTGTCCTGGGCCAACAAAATCCAGTCTCCTTCAACTCCTATCTCCCATAGATCACGCCTGAGATTATCCTCCCATCTACGTCTAGGTCTCCCCAGAGGTCTCTTCCCCTCAGGCTTCCCAAATAGTGGACCCAACCAACCAGATGGCTTACGGAACCCGGAGGTTCATCACCGAATTAACCAAATTCTGAAACCCTCTTCTTCCAGAATGTCAGTAATTTCACTGGCAGGCAGCACTGGCAACTAGTGTATGGTACGAGTTCTTAAACAAGACACTTATGTAGCTAGTTTCTTTAAACGATCTCTTACCACGAATTTGAATTCTTAAATGTTCCTAAAAAGTGATGCCAATCATTACATTCTATACATGAATGTGATTATGAAAATAAAAGTGATATACTGTTACAGAGAATGGTAAGATTATTGTTTTTGAAGGTTTGTTCTAATAACTTACGTAGACCTAGTTGGTAGCAGAAATATCTAATTTTGAGAACCTGCTATGTACTGTATATCTAGTAAAGCGTATTGTCTGGTGCAGTGGTTCCCAACGCGGTGCCCGCGGGCGCCATGGCGCTCGCCAAGACTTTTTTTGGGTGCCCGCGTTGTTACGGAAAGCGGTTATACTGAATAATGAAGGCCATTCAACCATGAACATTATAAAATCAAAGCACAGATCTCGACTTACCGACGCCCATCTGATAAACTCTCAAATGTGCCCGTAGGCAGAAAAAGGTTGGGGACCACTGGTCTGTTCTTACTTAGACTCGAACTAGATTCAAAACTCAAGAATTTTAATACTTTTCAGCTCGAACTCGACTCGAATGTTTGTATTATAAAAATAAGTTGCTAAGTGAAGCCTAGAATAAACCCACACCCTAAAAACAAAAATACTGCACATGAAACCATAATTACAAATTCAGATCCATGTTACACTTCTCACGCTGAATATCTGAAAAAGGAATGAGGAAATTATCTTTGCTGAAGATATAAATAAGTTTCAAAGAAATGAATGAATAAATGAATGTTCTTTATAGGACTGCACATAAAAGACAGTACAAAAGTTTGTAACGTTAACATATTAAAATAAGTATGAAAAAAGATTTGGTCATCTTTTCACGGTGCTTACAAAAAAAAAAAGTTAATACAGAACTTTATCAGGTGGTGTGCAACCTATAATGTCATAATAAAGATAACAGTAATAATAAGGATAATAGCAATAATTCATAATATTTAATAGTAGTATTAGTAAATAGATTTCCTTTCGTTGGCGTAAATTTTGTTGGCTCGCACTTGACCAGTGTCCACCAATCACATGTCACTGGACCTTATTTTCACACAGAATTAAAACTTGGGGCAGCAGTTGACCGAGAACTAGCAGTTCTGCGTCATATGCCATCACGTTGGACTTCGGAACCAAAAGTCCGTCTTATTTTCCCGTGAGCCCACGGAAAAATATGACCTCCCTTTGCCGTGACAAATATTTATAGGGTGGAATGGCCTATATGCACTTGGTTTACCTAAACAAAACCAGTCAACATGATATATCCCACATACATTAATGGTTTCGGAAAGTAACGATTACACTCGCTACACGACCGTGTAACGAACAGGTTCCGATCGTTTATGTACACGATATAAAATGACATTAAACAATATATTAGTTATGGTGTCACTATAGCTTGTCTCTTATTGTAATATTATCAGCCCACGGTCCGTTAATGTAAGGCAACATTTTTACGACATACATACAATGGTACAATGGATGTAATTAGGGGGCAAGAGAAATAAATTTTTTAAAAAAAAAATTAGAAGAGACAAGTACAATTCCAACCATCAAATAAATACTGCAAGTCCCTATCTGCTTTACGGAGCAGGCAGTCCGGTCATCACTGTACAGCTTTGTACTGCTTCTAGAACTACGCGAAACACACACGCGGCATGCTTCTCGGGAAGCCAGGCAGTAGTCCCCATATGAAAAATATTTGTGGAGCACCATGGTGAGAAAATGGTACTCTGAGAGAGCTGGGTGGCCAGACCCAGCACGTACAGTATGTGCCAAATCATCCTTGAAGTTACAACATTTTGGGACACTAACTAATAAACAGAAAAGACTGATAATGTCCACATTATTTCACGATAGGCAGTGTCAACCTACAAGTTGTGGCACAAGTACTGAGCACTATCATCTACCTGTCTGACTAACCCAGCACGGATAGCGGCCGGCAACGAACGCCACCTTCATCCTGGCACCCTTTAGGCTAGGAGGCGGGACGATGCCTGCCGCCGCAGATCCCACAAGACACGCAACACCAGTGACATGCCCGAAGTGGTGGGTAGCACCATAAGCAGGGCACCAGCAGCGATAGCAGAGCAAGGCCGACCCACCGGCGCCCACAGTTTTCATCCACCACCCCGCACTCACATGGATGCTGTGCAAAATCCCCTTCTGCATCCGCCATGCAATGGTACAGCATGCACTCGGCACATGAGATGCAGGCGACCGCGTTGATACCTGCTCGCACGCAGTCTGGTGCATACTCGCAACTCCCTCTACCATTCTCACCCTCCAAATATAGCTCCTGGCAGTGGCGGCACCTGTTCCAATAGGCCGCATGGCGATCCGTCTTCTTGCCGCCTGGTTTGGTAGGCAGCAAAGGGGGTTGAGTGGGGATCACTTCCAAGCTTCTCTTCTTCAAACTACTTGCCGAGTCGCGGCGCGAAGCCTTCTGGTCCTCCATCACGGGGTATATGTATTCATGCATAGCTGTCAACTGAACATACGAGTAGGTTTCTTTTTCACTGCTTCTGACCCCATCACCACCTTCTTCGTGCTGCTGTAGCTGTTTGCTCTCCGGAGGGCTACGGTCCTGGTCAGACCCCATTTTGTCACGTCTTGGGATATAATGAATCCGATGGAGATGATGAGACTCGGTGGGGGAAGTGGCACGATGACTGCTCCCTCCGCCACCCTTTGACGAGTCAGAGGACGAGCGTGAATCACCAATCTCCACAGGTAAGTTCAATGTCTAAAATTCAACAAGAACTTGTAAAAATCCAATAAACCCAACTGTTTCATCAAGATAATTTCCAACATGCAGGCAATACTACCACCAATAATGCATTAATTAATTAGTTCATCATTCACAATGGAAATTTGAAACAATAAATGTAAATTCTTATCCTTACGTATTCATTACTAGAGATCAATGTATAACTCTGGCTTTCAGGCATAAGCCACATTGAATGTTTGGTGGTGTTATACAACAAATGTGAAATTAACAAGTTACACAGGGAACAAAAGAAAAAAACTCCATGCATTCACATAGCCAGGCCATGGGGATATCAATAGCCGGCTTCAAGTTCTGGTTATATGAGACCCAAGAAAATGTTTCTGATACCAACTATACAAAAGACCGAATGAGACCCTCTGAGTGATTTCCAGCATCAGTGCTTTGGGAGAAATATCACAATGGTAATGTAAATAATTTTACTGCCTCCTGAATTCTAAAACTTCAATGACCATCATCATCCCACTTCACCAAAACAAAGCAATTTATTTCCCTCGGTGAACTTACGAATTATTGTATAAAATAATTCCCATCGCAGTTAATGTCAGATATACTTTACAAGAAGATGGCTGTCTTGTGGGTTGTTGCACCTTGTAGTCTGCTAGAAGTTTACCAATGTTTCAGAGGTGCCTGCTGAATGCAGCCGGCAAAAAGCGCCAAGAAGACAGCCATCTTCAAAACTAAACATAGTGAAAACCTCCAATTTCACGCTTTTACAAATTTATCATACAAATGGCAATCTAAACTTAGCATGGAGAGAAACAAGGGTTATAACCAATGCACTCTCAATATTGTGCTTTAAAACTGTGAACAAAACTCTTATCAGACTGTAAACAATTTACGCTGCCAAATACATTTTCAACTGAATACCAACTTTATAGGGATTGAACATAAGAAGATCCTTATCTTACTGGTGAAACTAGCAAATGAAGATACCAACATAAAAAGGAAAGATGGTATGCATGGTAGATATGAAGGGATAATAACAAATCTTGGGTTCCGAAACACAGACCTCTTCTAATGCCGTTTTGCTGTAACATTCCCACTTCCTCTGAGCATAAATGTATTGTAACTGTACGGATGGAAGAATTACGAGCTTCACAGAACTGTATGAATGAAGCAAAAACAGTCACATGCAATCCTTTCATATGGAACTTTTAAGTGCATAATTCTTCAAACAAACTTTCCTATACTCACACTCGCACACACAGAGAAATTTTTCAATTTATCAAAAATATCATCCTGTTAAGAATCCCCCTAAACCAAAACTCAACTACATAACAATAGACCAGTCAGTAAACCGAGCAAAAGATGTCAGGTTTTCACGACTACAATTCTGGGTTGTGACGTACATCTCAAAGGAATGTACTGCCTCTGACTCTGGTACACTGAAAATAGAGGTGATATGTTCCTCTGAAACTACACGACATCAGAACCCAGAATACTAAACAATCCACAGTAAAGTGACTAGCTATGGGCTGACTGATATTGGATTTCTGCCAGTGCAAGAATTCTTCCCTTTGCCACATTGACTGGCTCTTGGGGCCTGCCCCCAGCCTTCTATCCCATGAATATTAAGGGTAGATACAGATGACAAAGTGCCTAAAATTGTGGCAAACCATTTTGTAAAAATGACAAAAAAGCATAATTTTGTGGTTATGTCTTCTAACTCTGAAGTAAAGGAAATATATATACTATTGGACATGGCGCACACAGATATATATCACAAAAGTGACGTCTATTATTGCTGTGGTTGTTATACTGCACCTATTAATTGGACTGCAATGAACTCTTGCCTAAAAATCTCCTTAACTCAACAAAACAGGCAACAAGAAAGTAAAAAATTATAAACATTATTATCCACTCGGCAGAACGGCTTTAAAAATTTCCTATTTTGTAAAGTTAGAACCAAAGAAATCATGATCAGCAGATATTTTAAATATGTGAGATTTGAGGTTCTCACAATGGTGTGTATAAAGATGGCTGTATCCTGAGTCGTAGAGTCTTCTTATCTGTGTGATGAGTGCCTTCACTGTCCTCATCATTGAGGCAGCAAACACCTCTGAAATGTCAGCAAACTTCTACCAAACTACAAAGGTGCTACAACTCAGAAGACAGTCATCTTTATTTGAAATATGGGTTAAGTATGTGCACGTCAGGAGGTGTATTCCCTTTTCTTCAAGGGAGAATATCAATCAAAAGAATTTAAACAATGACATAACTGGGATAAGATGACAGAAATTGACACTACACAAAGCAAAACATTAAGCGCGGATTCCAGTGTAGTTTCCGGGTGAAGAAATATTTATCATCACATTCAAATGTTAAATAATTATTAGTGGAATTTTAGAACTTGAAATTCTATACTCCATTCTCATGTCCATTATGCTGCAATATTTCTGTAGAATGCTTGCTGCATGCACAGAGCAAAAAAATTAATTAAGCAATGCATGATTACTCGGCCACACAATTAAATACGTAACAAGATACGTCAAAACACTCACAAAACCTACCAGCATCCCACTGCAAACAGCAAACAACAGAACCCAATCTACAGCAACCATAACCCAGCAATGCATTACAACTGTTTACCACAGTATTAAATATTTATACTGATCATAACCATACAATTTCAAAGAATAATTTGTAGTACATATATGCGTGCACACACACGCGCACGGGAACGCGTATGTTTTCAAATAAACTATAACTTAACAACTTAAAGCAAAATTTGCTAGAATTATATATACCAACCATAACCATGCTAACAACACAAAACAATCACATCTCAGTAATTTAGGGCCATAACAACCAATGAACTCTAACCAAAATGAAGCAAGTTACAAATATAAATAGTACTAATTTAACAAACAAATATACATGAGCCATAAGCAAGCAATGCACTGCAGGTAGTTGAAGGACATGTCCTACTGTGCCATGGTAACAAGTTCATAATATCTGGCACCTTCCCATAAGCTGGTACACGGTCTCGTACCACACACATTCAAATTTTAATCACATATACCACCTATTGAAGATGTGTGAGAGGCAACAAATATAAAATTGCATACATGATAATCTAACTTCTCAAATGCTGATGACATGTTTTTCCTGTGACAAAAATCTTCTTGCATGACTAAATTTCATAGAAAACAATGTTTTGTCATCATATGGACTCTTGAACCCATACATGCTTTGCACCCTGTGATCCATAACTCAATCCTGCACTTAGTTTTAACACACAACAATAAAGGTAATTTTTTATCTTTCCATATGCAAATGAAGCCTCTGAATTGACATTCAGAAATGTAAAATGCCTTCAAAATTATGCACTTATTACACAACCACACTGTGAACTGCTCATCCTCTGCTTACTTTCAGAATTATTAGGAAGTAATCAATACAGACCAACACACAAAGCCTTTTTTTAAATGCACATACAGAGAATCTGCAATGCCCAAGTGCAAGCTATCAAAAATCTGCATTCATCATGTTTCATGTCACATAATATTCATTCATTTCTAGAACTAGAAGTTCAAGATGGAATTACTATCACAACACATACACAGGAAGTACAAACAGGAAGTAACAAGCATCATGCTTGTAGCAATGTAACTAAATGTACACTAACCATAAACACGTCATCCTCTCCCACACCTGCTTTGAATTTGTGAAGTGGCGATATTTCCGAAAGACCTGAAATGAACAACATTTTGGTTTACTGTCATTCTAATGCAGGTGTAGGGGCCTCCATCAACATGTCCCTTCTACTTGCCACTGTAAAATATATTTCCAGGTAGTTGCTATTCTGGCAGACGATAAGGAACATCGCACGTTCTACTACGCTGACAACAACCTTCATTCTTATGATCAGATACCTCATATTTTTATGATCCACTGTACGGACCTCCCAGAAAATTACATGGGAATCCTACACAAGTATAAATTAAAATTAAATCCGTGGCGTAACAGCCCCAGAGAGCCAAAGCCGACTAGCTTGACTGCTGGCGTCACGTTCACATGCCTAAGCGGAGGTGAACGATCATCCAACCAGATATAGGGTGACGTGTGGTCAGCACGACGAACCCCCAGCCATTGCTAGTTTTCCTGACCGGATTAAGCTACTCATTGTAGCTCCCCAATTTCCGTACGATGCTGGGTTGGCACCGGTCCCATACACTGGTCAAAAGCTCATGAGAAATTTCTTTCCCCGAGACTCGAACCAGCGCACATTCCGTATCGCCGGTCCGAAGCATGACGCCTCAGACAACGCGGCTACGGCGCGGGACCCTACACAAATATAGTGAACTACAATTACAAATGGATCTTGAACATATATTGGTTAAAATGCTGTTACAATAAAACTGATAATAAATATATTCTAAATCATAGACACATAAGCAGTTCAACTTTAGTTTATGAAAAAAAGTCTACAACAAATAAAATTTATTTTTAATTTCACACATGTTCCCAGATTAACAACACTGGGCCTGAAAACTCAATGTACAATGGTACAGTAAAATCTTACCATAACCTTTATAAAAAAAAATCAGTAGAATGGAAGTACTGTTCATCCCATAATAAAGTATCACTTTTATGAGTAAATATTTCACAGTAACAAATACTGCTGGAAAAGAATTCAGTGTACTGCGTTGTAAACAAAATTCTTAAGTTTAATGATTCAAAGTGTTATTTAGAATGTGTTAACCGTTCCTAAGTAGGGTTGCCACCTGTCCCAAATTTGTCCAAGCTGTCCTGCATGGTAAAATATTTTGGATAAATGAAGATGTCAAAGTGCATGGTGATTATGATTTGATACAGTGGGGGATTGTTTACAGCAATCAGGTGACCAGGACACCAACATACAGTGACAGTGATTTCAAGTGCAGATCTCCAAAAGAAAACTTTCACGCCGAATCAGACAGTATTCCAACTCTATGGAAGAAGGCAAGAAGCTGCGCAAATTCCGCAATGTATGGACCAACTGAGAGGCTTAAAATGTGTGGAAGAAATTAAACCTGAGCCAGGTGCAAAATTTGTAACAAAGAATTCTCTGAAGATTTCTGTCTTCTGGGTTGTTGCGCTGTGTAGTCTGGTCGATGTTTACCAACGTTTCAGAGGTCATACTGCCTCCGTCATCAAGGTAATC